GGTGCGGTTGGCGCAGGATAGAGCAGGGTTTAGGGCTGTTGTGCATAGGGTCGCTATGAGTCGGAAACTCGAGAGCACATAACAACAACAATTCTTCTGTTATCCTTATTCATTGTCCAGCTCTTAGGTACATAGCAAGTGATAAGAATAGCCATGACCTGAATCAGACACATCTTAGTACTCAATGTGACATCCTTTCTCCTTGATAATTTAGAGAGGTCCCTAACTGCAGACAAACAATAGATATGTCTATAAGGTGAACAACAACTCTAAGGAAGTGTGCATTCCTGAGAACAATAGCTGTTCCAGAAATAAGTGGCAGGATTTGCTAAGGGCAAAGTTCAGAAGACAGGAAGTATGGAAACCGAAGAAGCAAAAGGAGGAAGTGTGATTCAGGATCTTACATCTTGAGGATCACAGTCCATATCAGGAAACAAAATTTGTGTGAACTGCTGAGAGGAAAATTGATCTGTGTATCCACTGTGTAAATCTTTACTCATTTCACAATGAAAAGTTGAAAACAAAGCAATGAGTTCACCTAATTCCTTTGAAATATCAGTTGTTGTTATTGTTTACTGTAGAGTCAGAACCAACTCATAGCTGACTCGCCCATGGGTTTTCAGAAGCAAAGAATTGCGTGGAAGAAAACTCGCCATCTTCCGCAGAGAAGTTGATGGATTCAAGCAATGTGCCTTCAAGTGGGCAGGGCAGGTGTTTACTGCTAGATCGTCAGAGTTCCTATCAGCTGAGAAGGAACAGATTTTTATGTGAGTTCTAAAGGGGCGGGCAGGACAGTCTGGGGCCTGGGCTTGTGAGAAGCTCCTTAGTACTGAGTGTACTACGAGGTGATCCAGGGAGGAATAAGAGGAGCAGTGGTCTAGGACATTGACACTCTGGCCCTCTATACTCATGGCGATGAGGAATCTTCCTTCATGAGTCTATAAGACAAAGTGTAAAATGTGCTAATCTCAAGCCAGATAGATACCTTTTCAACACTGCATACATGTCAACGCTCTTGCTTTCTCTGTTGGTTTTCCAAAATACTCAACCACTGTCAAGTCAATTCCAAAATACTCAATTACTATCAAGTCAATTCCAATTCAAGACAGCCCCACCTGTGTTAGAGGAGAGCTGTTCTCTGCAGGGTTTTCATAGCTATTTTGGGGGGAGACAAATCACCAGGCCTTCCTCCTGAGGATGTTCTGGCTGGACTCAGGCCTTCAAGTCATTAGTTGAGTGGCTGTCATTAGCTGGGCACATTACCAATTTACACCATGGGGACTGATTTCCAAAACAAAGGCACAGGATTTCAGCTTGTGACCCTCCACCTTTAATTACATTTTCAAATCACGGCCTTTCCCCTGGGTCTCTTTTCACAGGGATCATTTTATCCTGTTTGAAATTGGTTGGCTTCATCTGTTTTCAATTCCTGTTTCAACCACCTCCCTCTCCTTCACCTCCTGCCTGGTTACCCTTCCTACTTTTGGTCCCTCTTGTAATTATTTTAGTTAATCATCATGCACCATAATCTGAATGTGTCTAGAGGATACTGTGGTGGTGGCATTTACAGCACTGAGGACAGTTTGCGCTGTGCTGTAGGAACCCTGCAGGCGAGCGAAAAGAGTACACACAGAGCTAAACACAGAGCCTCTATTGATTAAGTCAGTGTTTCCCCTTCGTATCTCTCATATTCCATTTTATTTTATTTCCTTTTTTCCTCTTCTAGCTTTTGAGAAACATGTTTTCATCCCAAATATTTTTTTTTTTTCAGTTTCTAAAAGCTAATGAAGTGTGAACTGATTTCCCTAATGGATGAGCAAATCAAGAACTTGCCATAAAAGTCTTGGGAAATATTCTAAATCCAGACATAGGAGTAAAGACCAAACGGAATGTATAGAAGGGACTGTAATAACCTATTATGGAGTGAAACACAAAAAACAAAAGCAAAAGATAAAGAAAAGGATTGATGCCAATCATTCACAGCAAGTTTTCTTGTCCTGAGTTTAGATTGGGAAGATACTGGAGATGTAGATTAATATCATTGGTTAGCATCGTGACTGTGGTTAACATAATAAATGTGAGCTATCGGCCCATTTGGGCACGACTGAGAGCTATTCCAGAGAAAGTTTTAGGATGTCTCAGCCACAAGCCATGATTACAGCCATGATCCTCCATTAACCATAGATTAGAGTAGCAAAGAGATAAATAATATACTCTCTTCTTACTCCAGGTAAATTTGGTCACTTGCTAGAAGGAACTCCCTTTACTTTCTCAGAATCCTCTTTCTTTTTAAGGGACAGCTTTTTGTAGAAGTTGCCAGAATATCCAGAATATGTATCTGGACAAATCACTAGCTACCCTCTGGATAACAGAATCCATTTGCACACAAAGAACAGGCAGAAAAGTCATCACATTGATATTAGTTGTCTAGGGAAAGAATGAAATTCTTCTATATAGCCAGTAGGCTTCAAATGCCAACTAGCATAAACTGATTGGGGTTAACTTCCTGGAGTGCTGGGCTGAGAAAGATTCTGAATTAGGTTCAGAAACAAGGAATTCCAAGATTAATAAAGGGGGAGTGTGTGTGTGTGTGTGTGTGTGTGTGTGTGTGTGTCTTGTGGTGGGCATGTCTCTATGGAGGAAAATAGAACCGATGGCTACTAAATCACCACCCTTCATTTCCTTGGATCAAGTATAAAGGCCACGTGGCCATTCCTCTTCTATTCTAGTCAAGGTATGTGAGAACTCAGCATAGGTACAGATCACAGGTTCCTTCATCAGTTAAAGAAGAAACCAGGTGTGATTTGTAGGAAATTGCACATGACCTACAATGGCACACAACTATGCAAAAGCAAGATTTAATAATACCAGAATTTTCACTAGCTGAGCGATAAATAATGACATAGTTGTGGCAACACAAAGATATTCTCCAGTTTCCCTGTAGCAATGGGAATGATGAAGGTTCTTCAGAATAGTCATAGAATTATAAAGAGGCATGTTAGTGATCTTGCTTTACATATACATTTGTCCTAATTGTAAAATGGTTTTATTTGTCTCATCTTAATAAATCCCCACAAGAATCTCAAGAAGCTTCCAGCACTTAGTGACAGGGCTAACTAGTATAATCTCCTGTCAAAATGTTAGCAAAGAGACCTCAACTTGCACATTCTGTCATCAAGCCTTGTGTTCTTGACTTTGTGTTGGAAAACACCCTCTGTTGCCAGCCCTGGCAGCAGGGGAGATTTTGAAAGGTAGATTTTATTATCAGGTAGCACTGCAGCATGTGAAGGGACGGAAATAGCTGACAACAATTATTTGGATTCAAAATGTTTGCCCTAATCAGTGAAGAGATCAGTTTAAATGTCAACGCACAAGATGTTCAAGGATCCCGAGCCTCCTTACTAATTAAATATGTTTCTCCGATTTCTCGCTCTATTAGCACCTAAAAAGGTATCAGACTTAGCAAATTGAATTCAGTATAGAAAAATGGCACTGAATATGCAAAAAAAAAATCAAAGTATAAAATTAAGAAGTTAGTGGTTGAAGTGTGATTTCTTATTTAAAGAATATTGTCATGGACATTGACTTGAAGAAAATCAGGACCAACTTAGCAACCAATATGTTATACTTTTGAAAAACAAATGAATTGGAAAAAGGTCTAATGGTTAATGTATTCTTGAGTAAATAAGGAAGATGCACAGAGATTTAAGAGCAGAATATATATATTAGCATACCAAAGAAGTATTAAAAATAAACAAAAATACTGACAAGAGATTTCATTGAGAGATGACCCTTTCACATCCCTTTACCATTTTATGTATAACATACTCTCCTCGTTTTTCACCAGATAGTCATATTTCTTTGACCTTCTTGTTTCCTTATAGGTATGACATCATGAATCTGCAATATACTGATGCTAATCGCTATGACTATGTCCATGTTGGAACATGGCATGAAGGAGTGCTGAACATTGATGATTACAAAATCCAGATGAACAAGAGTGGAATGGTACGGTCTGTGTGCAGTGAGCCTTGCTTAAAGGGTCAGATTAAGGTAAGCCTCAAGTGTTTTGTTTGGTGGTTATCTCAATGGGTTTACTACCATAGCATTTTTTAAAAACACCCCCCCCAAAAACACCGCAAAACAGCACAGATACACTTCTTAAATTGGATTCTCCATTAATGGTGTGTCAGACAAACCATGTTTCCTCTTGAATTTGCTAAAACAGAGAAGACAAGAAAATACTAGGAAATCATGTATCACGTGATTGTGTAGAATAGCCATTATTTGCACCACAGTCATGGACTGGGATGGTAAACACAATATAAAAAGTAAAGGACTTTTCACAGAGGAAGACATTCAGATGGCCAACAGACACAGGAAGAAATGCTCAAAATCACTGGAAATAAGAGAGATGCAAATCAAAACCACAATGAGATACCGTCTCACCCCTGTAGCAGTGACAAAATGTTTACCAAGGCAGCAAGAAATAAATATTGGAGAGGATGTGGAGAGGTGGGAACTCTCATAAACTGTTGGTGGGATTGTAAAATGGTACAACTACTCTGGAAGGCAGTTTGGAGCTTTCTCAAAAAATTTGAATATGGAAACTCTGTATGACCCAGCAATTCCACTTCTAGGAATATACCCCAAGAAAATGAGAACTGAGACACAAACAGATATCTGTACACTAATGCTCACAGGCGCATTATTCACCATCACAAGAACATGGAAAGAGCCCAGATGTCCAACCACAACTGAAGGGATTGAGAACTTGTGCTACATTCACACAGTGGAATTCTATACAGCACTCAAGAGCAATGATTTTGAAAAATACTACATAACTTGAAAGAGACTGGAGAGCATTATGCTGAGTGAACTAACTCAGTCTTATGAGTACAGAAGACCATTATTGTAAAAATAGAAGGATAAGTAGTAAAACATGTATGGGGATCCAAGAGAGGAAAGGGTAGGCACAGAGGGGTGAGGATGGGTAGGGGTGAAACCACAGGATTGCACAATTTGGTGGGTGGAGGGAGGAGATGACGGAAATTGGAAGGATCCAGTGGGGATCTGAAAAAACAGGGTAATGATTGGCAAAGTCAAAGTCCAATGGTGATTAATTTTATAAAACATAATACGTGAGAATGCTTATATGAAACACAATGTGAATGAAGAATAGCATGAAACACAATGTATACTAACTTTGTAAGCAAACCAATATAAAATTTTTAAAAAATGTCAAGGGATGAGTAATTAAATTTAAATGTGAATCAGGCAAATATATGAACCCAAACCAATGGTACTCATGAGTCATAAATGTAGCCATCATAGTAGAAAGCAAAAGTTAAATAAGTTTCTAACTGAAACAACAGAGGTTGAGTTAACACGATCCTTTGGTCTAAAATGTCTTTTCTTGTGAAGAGAGCATCTTCACTATGCAGTAGTTTGTAGGGGCCCTTTGGAGCTTGGGGAAGTGAGTAACCAAAACATGACTGCATTGATGAACACAGAGTAGACTTCCAACAGTGATCTGACTGCATGTGCTGGAGAGGGTGTCTGCAGATAAGGCAGTCCTCCCTGAATCCTGTGCTGCTTGAGACCAAATTGGCTGATACACGGAGAAGCGGAGCACAGAGGAGGGGCTGTGAACTGGCAGGGTGTGGATTAGATGGCCTAATAGGTCTTTTCCATCTCTAATTTTGTGTGATTCACCTCTTGGAGCGGACAGGCTATCACATAAATGTCACAGAGCACAGCTGGAGCGGGAGCCAGTGTGTGTGCCACCCTGCACCTCTCACTGTGCTGTTGGCTCCATAGAAGCTATGGAACCACCATGCAGGACAGATGGTCTACAAATATGCATGGAGGTTCTTAGGGTGTGCAAAGCCCTATTGTCAATGCAAACAACAGAACCAAGCAGTTGCTGTCAAATTGTTTCTGAATCAGGATGGTGCTGTATGAGCCAGAATAAAACTCAGGTTTCCAAATCTGTGACCTTTCAAAGAGAAATTACATCTGAGTGGACGTGAATCAACAGCCTTTCAAGTAGTAGCCAAGTGCTTAAATGTTTGTGGTACCCAAGGATTCTAAGAATCAGTGCAGAAATAGATAAATTAATCCAAACAACCCTTAATTTTACTCATAAAAGAAGGCAGACATACAATAAGTATTGTTCTACACAAAGACAAATAAAGTCCTTGAAAACCTTATGCTGACTGAAATAAGTCAATTACAATAGGACAAATATATGATCTTATTTAAATGAAATAGCTGAACTAGGCAAATGTAAGAAACCAGAGGTGAGAGACAAGGGGATGTGAGGACATTGCCTAGAGGTATTTAGCTTGCTAGAGTTATGCAAAAATTTGGAAACCATGAAAATGACTACACAACATGATGGGTGTAATTAATGCCACTGGATTGTATATGTGAAAAATGTTGAAATGGCAAATATTTTGTTGTATATAGTAGAATTATTGTTAGCTACCTTCATATTCAGAGTAGAACAGTTCTTCAGGCTTTTCTCTAAGCTTATCTTTGGAAGCACCACTGAACAGGTTTGAATCAATGATCTTTTGACAAGTAATTGATTGAGTGCTTGTCTATTTGTGCCGTTCATCTCTCTCTCTCTCTCTCTCTCTCTCTCTCTCTCTCTCTCTCTCCATATTGTTGTTATGTGGCATCCAGTCAGAACTGACTCCTAGCTGACCCTATAGAGGATATAAATTAAACAGGAGGGAGAAGACTACTGGCTTAGTGGTACAGAGTTGCACAGCCAACCCAAAGGAACACAGTACTAATGCACAAGCTGCTCCAAGGGACAAAAGATAGTCTATCTCCTCCCTTGTGATTTACTGTCTTTGAAAACCCGCTGGAGGGTCAGCTATGATTCCATTCTGATTCAAAAGTACGCAACAACTATACATCTTTACATACTGTATATATAAATGTTATATACAATGACTAGAGATGATAGGAGAATTGATGCCTTTGAACTGTAGTGCTAGAGAAGAGTATTGAATATACCATGGACTAGTAAGAGTACAGGTGTGGCATCCACTTCCTAAACAACATGCCCCTTGAAACTCTATGAACTTTGATAGATGAAAATAGTTATAGAAAGGCTTTAGATCTTTTGTTCATAGGGTCGCTATGAGTTGTGCTAAAGTCAATGACAATCAACAACAGCAACAACAACAACTAAGAGAACAAACAAGTTCACCCTAAAGAGGTGAAATCAGGCTCCTCCTAGGAGGCAAGGATTCTGAAGCTTTGTCTGACACACTTTGGACATGTTGCAAGGCGGGACCGGTCCTTGGAGAGGGACGTCCTACTTGCGAGGGTGGAGAGACAGCACAAGAGAGGAAGACCCTCAATGAGATGGATTGATTCAGTCACTAGGGTTATGGGGGTAGGTGTGTCACAGACAATAAGATTGGCACAGGATAGAGCAGGGCTGTTGTACATAGGTTCAGCAGAGTTGCAGGCGATTTGATGGCACATAAAAACCACCTTAATTGTGGCAGCTGAGAAAAGCCTGTTTGGGTGAACTCAATGCTTCATTAAAAAGGGAAACAAACTTTTGAAGCCTTAGTTGTAATGTCTTATACTTTCTCAGCAGAAATGACATTAAAAATAGCTAATAATTGTCAAGTCAACCAACTGGAGTGGACTCTATTTTGTTAGTAGGACTGGCTGCCTGAGGCCTATTGCTATGGCCAGGGTCAATTCTGGAGTTTCAGAACTGAGGGAAGGTCTAGGGCAAAGAGCCCCCATGGCTAGGGCAGGTGAGGGAATTCTGGAGGCTTGGAAACACCACTGTTTCTAACCAGTACAGGGAGTTTCAATATTGTAGCAATGGCTTCAGCTGAACCAGTGTGTACCAGCTGTCCACCAGCTCTGCTGCTCCCTCTGAATCAGCTTCTGATTCTTGTCCAGATGGGATTCCTTCTCTGAAGGCTGCCTGGTGCTGTGTAGGATGTGCTGTGCAGGATTATGTCCTCTGAGTTTCAGAGGCCCTGAACCTCTCACCGACTTTGCATAGAGTTGCTGTGAGACTCCTAGGCCCGCACCTTTTTTCTAAATAATGGGGGGGGAACTGGAAAACTGATACCTGACATGCAATGAGGGGAACCCACAGGGGTCCACTTCCCAGTTACTCAAAGCATATCATGCTTTTAGGTCAGATTCGCTTTCCACTCTGGCTAGTTGTACTGAGGCTGCTGTGTAGACAAGCGCTGTGGAAGGTTGTGAAACTACTAAGTTTAGTTATTCCGTATTTGTAGAGGAAACAAGAAACCTGCCAGGAAATAGGAAACCCCTCTGAAGACACTGCATGCAAGCTCACTTTTCCCCACTCTCTTCTCCCCTGTTGGAAGACAAGGACTGACTTGCACTCTACTTGAACATTTGGAAGAAAATTCTTTCTCTTTCCCTTAAGTTCAGAGGAAAAGCTACCTGCATATATCAGTATGTTTGGATATTGAAATATTTCTGCCATCTTGTCTGCTATGTTCGTAAGGGGTTACTGAAGAAGAACCAGAAATCTTTGCTGAGTTATTCTGGGGTGCTTACTATAAATGCAAAAATCTTTTGGGGGAGAATTTTAGAGATATTGTGTATACTACAGAAGAAAATATGCCTGTCCTCAACAGGACCAGGAGTACAGGATTGTTTCAGCACTTTGGGAGGTATGGAAACAAATGAGATTAGGATTCTATTTCCCAAATAACAGCACTTTCATTCTTACATACTAAGTTATCACCTACTAGGCCTTGGGTGCACTGACTTGGATCTCAGCAACCAACCCAAGTACAGGAGAGAGGCCACTTCTGAGTGCATGGAAGACCTGTCCTTTCACTAACTGAGAGACCTACTTGCTACAAAAGATGGAGTCACCTAAATTCAATACTATTTAAAATGCAAAAATCATATAATCCATGCAACTTTAACATCACTTTCTTTTAAAAGAAAGAAAAAGCATTTTGAAGCTCTGTCTCACATACTTGGGTCATCCTTGGGGAACGACTCATGCTTGGAAGGGAAGAGAG